CGAGAATAGTACCTGGAACAAAGAGACACTCCATATAAAATATATTGAATGCATGAATGTAACATTTGCATCTAGAACTGATGAATTGCATATATTGGTAACAATTAGTTCTATAATCTAGCAATTTAGTGGATTGGCTCTTGCTGAGGCGATAGCCTACTGAACTGGACAGATGGTTGGGGTAAATGCCAGTAGTTGCCCTCCTGCAGGCATTTTCTGACCTAAAAATCTTGTGCTTTGGTTCAATGTGACTCTGCATAGAGCAGCCATATAATTTGTATACAAATCAAACACTTTTGAGAATAAAAGGGGTGCTATTAATGACACCATGATAATAGATGTAAGCTGGGACAAACTAGGACAAACCAGGACATATGGCCACCTTACTTCAGCGCCCTAATTGCCCCTGACTGGATTAAAGATTGGTGGCATTCCTAAAAAAGGTTGTCTATGGAGAGGACAGCAGCCCATGAAGTGGTCCCTAGTACATTAGATAGGGACTGTCTAAAGTAATAATATTCTTAATGTGGCATTTTAATGCAAAAATAGCCCAGGAGTCAAGTACTCATCAGAGAAGTTGAAAGAGGTAAAACAGAGAATAGCTGAGTCACCTAACAGCACATCACTGTGTAGAGGGCATAAAAAGGACCAGATCGCTGCAGCTGTTGCTGTGCCTGGAGAGTTACCCGTGCTGTTCTATTCTCAGATTCATTGCAGATTTTTTCCATGACTTCAGTTCTCTGCTGACTGGGATTCTTTTCTGTTCTTGCTTACTTCCCTGATAATCCATAATATAAGCTTTGATTACTTGAGAAGAACGAGTTATATTTTTGTTAATTACAATCTAAAAAATTCTGACTCGTATATATGCAACTATGATCAATTCTTTGTATTTTTCCCAGCATTAACTGTGCCCTACACTGCTTTGGTGCTAACTCATTACTCGTGTTAGCCCACAGTATTAAGATGCTTTGTAAGCTCTTGTCCACTATGAAATCAGTGTAGGCTTACAGATTAATTGAGAAACAATTCACTTATATTATCTGTATCATATTCAACTATGAGTTAAATGAGCTTTGGGCTTGCCTGGGAGTCTGACCAATGTTTGTAATAAGATTTCCATGAAAAAAAAATTCAAAATTCAACCAAGAGTGCCAAGAAATTATTTTAGAAACTAAAATCCAAGATGCAAGGTTTGATAAATATGAGAGCATTATAAAGAAAACAGGCCAGAATATTTGAAACTGAGATTTTTCTAGCAAGGCAGAGCTAAACAAAAACCATAAATATCAGAGACACAGGCTGGTATTCAGAGTCATCATAATAGGGATATTATGGTAGAAATATTATTAAAGACTAACTAAACTACAGTAATGTCAAATGGACCAGGAAAGAAAATATTCATGTGTAGAACATAGGGTGTGATGGGAGGAGAGCAGGACTGTGGGAGCCCAGCCTTTGTAGAACGAATCTTCTGAGAAGGTTTTTCGTGTAACTCAGCACTATGTGTACACACAGGTGTAAGGAGAATGCTGATGCATGTAATGCCTGTCAATATCATTTCACATGATTAAATTTTCCTTTTCAAATTCCTCTGATGTTATTCTTGTTAAATAAAATTTATAGGTGACTATTGGTTTGAACTGAGCTCCTACACTAAGCTCAACAGATCAAACTAAAATGAAATTATTTGTGTTAAGTTCCAGGCCACCAAGCCAAAACGAAGTTGTTTATCTGACCTTCTGAGAAATCAGGAGAGTGATAATAGTCAAATTTCCAAGCAGGCCAGATTTAGTCTGTATCATAAGGACATTCTCTCTGCTTTAACTTTTTTAAGGAAAATAACTTTGGAATGAGCAATCCACTTTGTGTTCTGGGTTTCTGCTTTCCTCAGTCCTTTCTGTCCAACAAGCCAACCCTCTCAGCTCAGCTCATTGGAATACTCATTCTGTTTTATATAACGGGGTATTGCCTGAATCTAGAATTGCAAATGAAAACTAGTTAAGGTCTTTAAACTGAATTTGTTATAATTTTGTCTTTTGACAGCCCATAAGGGGATCATTCCAGAAGTCTCAATCATTCATTTTATATTAGTCTTCTTGTGTGCCACCCATACAAATAAAATGAAATAAAAAAGCAGAACTTCATCCTACTTTCAGTTCCTTGGAGTTCTGACTAAACCCACATTCATTAGTCCTGAAGCTAATTAAACTAACCATTTTCGTATGCTTATTTAGGAAAAGAGGTCACTGAGACTTTGATATTTTGGTCAGAATCTATTTTCAAGATTTGCGTCTATTCCAGCCGAATCATTTAAATAGCTGTGAAACTGTAAAAATATTTTAAAGGTTTATTTTTATTTTTCTGAATAGTTTTTTAAAACAGCAGTCCAACTGAGGTCAAATGAAACAAGATGTGGAATTTTAAAGTTACTTTAGAAAAATTACACTCATTACAGTAAGGGTGAGCTGGGAGTATCTTAGAATCCTATGAGTTTACCTAACATTTAAATAGAGAGACTACCATGTATTATCCTTACCCATTTCTCTGATGCTTTGTTTTCTAATTTGTCTTCAATTGGTTAAAAAAAATTCAAGGGAAAAAATGAATCAAACCCTACTTTAGTGTTCAGATTAAGATGGACTTTATGAAAGTCCTTGAGAACATTTATATTTTTTCTTTTCTTTTCTTTTTCCTCCCTTCCTCCCTCCCTCCTTTCCTTCCCTCCCTCCCTCCTTCTTTCCTTCTTTTTTCCTTTCTTTTTCCTTCCTTCCTTCCTTCCTTCCTTCCTTCCTTCCTTCCTTCCTTCCTTCCTTCCTTCCTTCCTTCCTTCCCTCCCTTCCTCCCTCCCTCCTCTGTCTCTCTGTCTCTCTTTCGCTCTCTCTCTCTCTCTCTTCCTTCCTTCCTTCCTTCCTCTCAACAAAGTCTTGGTCTGTTGCCTAGATTGAAGTTTAGTGGCATGAGCTCAGTTCACTGCAACCTCCACCTCCTGGGTTCAAGCAGTTCTCCTGGCTCATCCTCCTGAGTGTCTGGGATTACAGGCATGCACCAACATGCCCACCCCAGCTAATTTATGGAATTTTAATAGAGAAGGGGTATTGTGTTGCTCAGGCTGGTCTTGAACTCCTGGCCTCAAATGATCCACCTGCCTTGGCCTCCCAGAGTGCTGGGATTACAGGTGTGAGCAATTGCGCCAGGCAAGAAAATTTATTTTTTTTCTGACAAATTTTATTTGTTTATTAATATATGTATAATGTAATATAAAGTATATTTATATGTTTACAATATCTATTACTAGGTATTTTTGAAACCTATAAGTTTAATTTAATATTAGACCCTAATATAAACATCCAATTAGTTAATCCAACTTTTGAGGAAAATATTTGTTCCTCTATGTCCATAATATTTATGACCATTTTATAAATATATGAAAAAATTTTTCTTAACCTAGTCATGACTCTGTTGTCCACAAATAAATTCCTTACTGAAAGGCATCTTTCTTTGGACTTTAAAGTTACTTTTTTTGAATTTCATTAGTAAGGTCTATGCAAATTAGATTTAGGCAAACACTTTTTTTTTATGTTTCTGCACTCAAAATGTTAACAGTCAATATAAACTCAACCATGTTATGTTTTTAAAAGCAAGGCAATGCTGCCTTTACTTTAGTTATTTCTTGCAAATAATTAGGTTGAAAGTAGACATTAGTACTGTTATCACCAAATACAAATTTCCATTTATCAAGTAAGGAGGCAAACCAGTATGATTTTTCACCAGTTTGCTCATGATCAGAAATTCACAGTGATATGCCTTAGGCTATTTCTAAAAAACTGGAAAATAAAGTATTGGATAATAAAAAATATAAAATGCATAACTAGAATTACACCAAATATGCCTTTTGGCCAAAGATGATTCAAAATTAAATCTGAAATGTTATTAAAATGTTTATTATTATTACAAATTTTTAATCAAAACTTTTGGTAGATCTATTTTTTAAAGTTTGACATTAAAATGCAAGATTTATAACTTTTCAACACAAATACTCACTTTTAACAAAGAAAAGCCAACAGTGGGGCAAGATCTACTTTCGCTATTGTGTGCCGACTGGGGTGCTCCTGGATTGTGATGCTGCCACCAAGTACTTAGTTTTTCTCTTTCTCTAGTCAGAGCTGATTGTGGTGAAGTGTTAACTACTCTCAACATTTGGGCTTTCAGATGTGAGCAATGCTGTTGCTGCTGTCCCAACGACCCAATCTTGCACTTAGAAGCTTCCTGCATCGCTGGAAAATCACTTCGTGGATATTTTCAGAAGCAGGCATATTGTTGCTTTTATTTCAGCATTTTCATTCTAATATGTTTGCAATCACTGGCTGCTCTATATTGTCTTATGGGAAAATTTGTTCTTAAATCTTGGAGCTAGAAATGTAACAAAGGAGCAATGTGATTGGCTTTCACGTTACTAAACTCTTGGTCTGAATTTCTATCTGCACTCAGCTTTTACTGTCTGTCTGCACTCTCAGCATCTTTTAATAGAATGATAGGAGGATATTTTTAGCAGCAGTTATCACTAAAGAAATGGTTGTAATCTCAAGGCACATAGTTTGCCTGATTTAGTATATAAATAACTGTCTCTACAAACAACTGTTGGTTGTTAAGTAAGACCTGCTATGTTGGATCTTTTCCTCCCTGCAACATACAGTATAGTATTAAGGCTTTCTTGTATTTAAGCAGATTTGAATATGTGATAGTTACTTCTCCATCTGGTTTGGTTTGCAGTTCCCAAATCTCCTGTAAGTCTTGATTTTTGCCTTTGTTTAAAAAGATGGAAAATAGTGGCCCGACATTTCTCTGCATACTGCTAGTAATTTTGTTGTATTGTATTCTATAATAATTTTTAAGCCATATGAAAATAATATTTTATTACATTGTCAATAAAATTGCATGCAGTTTTTGTTAATAATTTCTTACTCAATAATTATTATTATTTAGTCAGATACCGTTAGCACATGTGGTGGGTAGAAATCTAAGATAATGCTGAAGTCTTCTGCTTTCTGATGTATACATCCTGTGTAACCCTAAAATTATAAACATGATGGTTATCACTCTCATGATTATATTACGTGTTATGGCCAAAAAGAATTTTGCAGGTGTAGCTGAGATCCCAAATCAGTTAACCTGAAGACGTCAGAGATTGTCCCTGTGGGCCTTGACTAATCACATGAGTCCTTTAAATCTGGCTTTAGAAGTGGGAGACAAAGAGGATAAGCAATATGAATCATGATAAGGACTCAACTTGCTGTTGCTAGCTTGGAGATAAAGAGGAAGTCACGTGGCAAAGATGATGAGTGGTTTCTAGGAGCTGAGAGTAGCTCACAGCTGACAGCCAGCAAGGAAACAGGGGCTTCTGTCCTATAACTAGAAGGAAATTAATTCTGCTAATGACAAGAATGGGCTTGGAGGATAACTTTTTCCTAGAATTCAATCTAGTAGATAACTTGATTTCAGTCTGGGATACTCTGAATAGAGAACTCAGTTACGCCATACTAGACTTCTGATCTACAAAACTCTTAGCTTATACATGGAACTGTTTTAAGCTGCTAAATTTGGGGTCGTTTGATATGCATCTATAGAAAATAATGCAGCATCAGACCCAGAAATATTTTGCCAAACAAGTACATTAGAAGCATTGTTGAGTTCAGCATGAGTCCACCATATTAGCAAAGTTAAAGAAAAATTATCCATGTAGGTTGCTTGGTGGATGGTTCTGCCTGCCCGTAAATCTGATGTATGGAACACACAAATATCACATGAAACATTATCACTAACTTTTTGTGCTCAGCACAATATGTTAGGAATCTTTTTTTAATCATCATTTTCTATTAAAATTTATTTAATTTTTTATTTTTCCAACTATCTAATTTCAGAAAGGTTCCTGCCCATTTCTAGGTCTCAATATCCCCATACATGAAATTAGAAAGCAAACTTGAAGGATATAAAGGACTCATCCAGGATTTCTGACTCATCCTTTTCTCCTCTTGAGAGACTTTCCTGGAAAGAGATCGTTGGGCAAATCCTTCAACTAGGGCCTCTTGGTCTTCCCCTTGATTCCATCTTCTCACCCTTTGTTCTTCCTAACTTTCCATGAGACACTCTCTTCATCTTTCTCCCCCAAACATTTTGCAACTAACAGCCCCCAGGATATGATGTGCACCTAGTGATTCTGCAAGACCCGTTATCAGAAGCCACGCTACTTTCTCGTCCATAACAGAAAACTTTTAGTTAAGTTCAACTGATATAGAGACCTGGCTATTCTATGAACTCAGAGCCATGCCCAATCTATCTCACATCTACCTACCCAGAAGTTACTTTGGGTTGGGGTTCCTAAATGCTGTTGTTTCAGTTTTCCAGAAAATTATCACTGATTAAGCAAAGACTAGAAATTGGAAATCCGACATCTCTACAAAACATTCTGCAGTTAGTGAAAAGCACACGGCCCATCACAGAGAACTTGCCATGGTTTACTCAACCTGATTAAGACGGTGCCATAGTAATTCACCTGCTGTTAATGAATACATTCACTTACCAAAACAAAAGAACAACTGAGCGTTCTATATCTTTGTGAATAACAGGAGTCTCGTTTTTCAAATTCAGATCAGAATTGATAGTAATTAAAACCTGAATGATGCTTGATAATAAATGAGAATGGCTAACATTTGCAAGTGTAAATGATTTAAATGAGTACACATATTTTGTTGGAGTCAGTAATGTTTAACATAGGAATATAAATTTTACCTCATAAAGCATATATAATCCATGACTTAATTTCTTTTATATTATCCCTCCATTCTTGCTCTTGGAATAGTTCTCTCCTATTAGATTGCAAATGAAGATAATATGGATTGTTGAAAGCTGATGGTATTTTCCAGCAATAATGCAAAATGGAAAGTCATGAGAATCACCCACATTTAGTGGGATAAGGCATAGAAAGATGATCCTATAGAGAATACTAGAAAGGAACAGCCAGAAAGGTGAAGGAAAACTCGGCAATATGTGGATTCACAAGACCGGAAGAGGAGAACAGAAAGGGCAGAATAATGCTTATCGGATTTGTCTAATATGTAGCTGTGAGGATAATTCCAGTGATACAGTCAAGGCAGAACCAAGTTGCAGTGCTTGGAGGATGAAGTAGGAAGCAAGGAACTAAAGCCCGAGGGTTTTAGTGGCTCTGTTGACAGAGTTGCCATCTTCATGACACTGTGTGTCCCTCCTAGGCAGGGACCTCTTCTTGATTCTTCTTCATATTCTCAGTATCCACACTGTAGGCTCTAGAACAAAGAAGGCCTACGGATTACTCTGGGGTAATGCTTCCTCTTCATACTCTGTGTTTCCTTCCATGGAGGAAGATACCAATTATTGCAATAGTTTTGGCCTCACTTTATCTTTTAAAAAGCTTCATTCCTAGAGAGAGAAGGTGGTTTAGAAGGAGAAACTAGACCTGCAGCTTAGCCCCTTTTAAAATCTTCTCTCTCTTTCAACTTCTCCATGCTCTAAGTTTTAGGGGCTAATAATTTTGAGGAGTGCAGGGAGTTGGGGAGCTGCCCTGATACAGATAACCTGGGAAGAAATATTTTCTAGAAGAATTTATACATTCAGTATGTCACAAAAAGCATTGTGTTCATGTATGGAAAATAAATGAAAATCTATAAATATCTTCTGAAAAGATTTTTGCACAACGTTGATAGAGGTTTCACTTTCAGGAATGTCTTTGTATAACATTATCGTAATGTCTGTTGTTTCAAAGTTTAATTAATGAGGATATTTGGAATGTTCTATTTTTCTCTCTTCATATTCCTCATATTCTTTTTTATGCATGGCTTAAGGGATTTATTATAGTTACTCATGGATAACTTTGAGGGTTTTGTCAAAATAAAATTTGGAGGGAGTGAGCAGATATTGTAATTTGAATTTGTTCTCAGAAGACGTGAATTATTTTCTAATAGGACTTATTCTCAAAATACTTAGAGTATGAATTGAATTAAGCAACTAAATATCAAATCTAGTTCTTATGTTTTATTTCATTAATAATATTGATAGTACAACAATTCTAAAATTGGAATTAGATATAATCACTACTTTCTACTTTGTATTAATATTTATATTTTTATACTTTTTGGACTCAAAGAATATAGTAAGTCTTAAAGTTATCTAGATAATGTACTCTTTATATTAACTGTTACTTTGTTTTGCTATTTAGTTATTTGGAAATTTAAAATAATTTTTTGTATGTAAACATAACAGCTTCACAATGAATTAATTATTGAAGCGACTTGATCATATAACACCATGCATAGTTGTATGTCAACTGACTTATAGAATTTCAAAAATTCTAGTCATATAAGGACATTTTTTGCTTCAAGTTACATCCAGAATGCTTTCCTATTCAAAATGAATATGAAGAGACAACTTCATATTCAGTGTTAAGTGTAAGTAATGGTGTTTATTCTGGGTCCCAGAACCAAGACCTTTTATCATTCATAAAAGCACTCTTTCAACCATGTTAATTTTCCACAAGTGTATTGACTTAGCACCTTTATTATTCAATCTATTCTGAATAAATGCAAGGAGGACAGGTAGTCCTGGTTGGGTATCTGCAATTGCCCTCTGAAAGCAGCTGACAGCCATGCCTAGCCCACTTGAATTCACTGTACTCTGGAGTGTGAGTGTATTTCATTCATCTGTCATTAAGTCAGGGTCTGCAGGACAGACCTCCACAGGTGGTGATCAGCGTCTCAGGTGGTGACCCTGACGTGATTGAGGTCTCAGCTCTATGTCTTAAAGTTGACTTCCTCTGATATCAGTATTTTATATTTTGTGTAACACTAGTATATAATACATTCCCTCTTTTTTGTATTTAAAATAATTTTAAAAGTAATTTTAAATTCATGATAAGGAAGAGCTTTATCTTCACTTACTTTATCTTTGTTTTTATACTTAAAATAAATATAACAGAGTCTTGCTTTTTAAATCTATGCTACCAACCTCTGCCTTTTATTTGGAGAGTTTAATCCATTTATAATCTATTTATTGCAGTTATTAATGTGCTTGGGTTTAAGTCTTCCATTTCAGTTTTGTTTTCTGTTTGTCCCTTGTAGGTTATTCCTCTGTCTCTCCTTTCCTGCCTTTTTTTTCCTTGTTTTAAATTAATAAATATTTGTGTGAATTTTATTTTAATTTATCTGTTGACTTTTAAATATATTTTTTGCATTATTTTTAGGAGTTGCTTCTGGAGTGATATATTTAGTCTTCATAGTCTACCTAATTTGTATTGTGCCATTAATAAAATGTAAGAAACTTGCAATCTCATAGATCTTTGGTTCCTTTTTTTTAATGGGATTTTCCCCCTCACTTTCAAGCTGCCATTTACCTTGAGTTCTTTCATCTAGTTCTTCAAGTTGGCAAAACTATGTGTTTCTATGCAATGTTCAGCCACCAATGTGGGGTTGAATGGGGTGTGCCCTCAGATAAAGAGCCATACAAATGGGAAACTCAGTGCTGTTTCTCTTGTTCCATTTGTTGACTCTTGCTGGATTCCTGTCTTTCATCTTTACCAAAGTTATATAATTTTGTTTGTAAGAATTAGTACAATAGAAGCAATCCTACCATTTCAGAAATTTCTTCAAATCATTGCCTTTAAATTTAAATTTAGACTTTCTTTTCCCTACATCCTCTGTATTTTCAGGCATCTAATTTTTTACTTGTGTTAGGAAACTCACATTTCCTGTGAATAAATTAAAGATCTAGAATTGTTTACTGGTAGCTGAGTCAGACAAATCCCAAAATTTTCTTGAACATTTAAATAAAACAGAATCCTGCATTACCCTCACGTGTACTGAATCCTGGTATTTAAAGCTACTTTTATGACTCTGTATTAAAGAAATAAAACTTACTTGGTAATTCTGATTAACCTTTGAGACAGGTGTTTGACTTCCAAATTAAACAGAAATTGTTTCTCAGTAATTTAAAATATAAATTCTGACATTTTAATTCTATAGAAGGAAGGCAAAAATTGGAGAAAAGAGAAATCATCAGTGTTACTTTGGGTGTGGAAACTATGTGACATGCAATTTATAATAATATTCTTGTATTTTCAAATTATCTAAAAATTAGAAAATAAGAGTAACATAATTTCACAAGTAAAGTTCTTCTGGGACATTTTATATGTTCAATGAAAGTTTATATTAAGTTTTTCCCAGAATCAAGGGTTATTAACAATAATAAAGATTTGTTCAATTTGTAATTTTATTCTTTATTCATCACATATTTACTGGTGATGTAAGCTATCACTATTCTGAACTATAAAATATGCTATGTGGTGGAGACTCTTGTTTCAGATAAAGATTATTAAAAATGACCTCTCTAATTTTAGTTCATGTGAGCCTAGGTTTTTCATAGGTTTCTCCACTTGGATTTCTGATGTAGAAAGAATTGATCAAAAATCATATTATTATCAATCCAATTTGAAATATGAACAGTTCTGGAAGTCATAATTAAGCTGTTTTCCACACACACATGCGTGTACACCCATACTCACACACAGAAAATCAACTCACATTTGCAGGCCTTATAAACTTGATCTATTAAAAATAATCACGTAGGCAATCTCCTTCTGTTAGTTTCTATGTGGGAATCTAACCAAAAGAGTGTCAATTAAAAGAAATTAGTGTAGAGTCAATGATTAGGCATCTGTGTTGTAGCTTTCTAGTTTGCTACTTGGCTTTGCTTTTGCAGTGTTATTGCAGTGAAATAACTGAAAACATTAGACTCGAGTATGAGAAAATCAGCAAGAAAAGATAGTAAATAAAGAATATGGAGCAAATGCTAAAATGTTACATAAGTCTACTTTATTAATACCCTGTTGGAAAGAACAGCTTTATCTTCACTTACTTAAAAGTGAATGCCTTACCTGGAAAGAAGCAGAAAGTAGGACAAAAACAGGCAAAGAAAAGAAAATTTGGTTTAATGGCAGAGTTCACAAGTTGTTCAGAAATCCCAAGGCATAAAATTTAATAGGTTCTCCTTACATAGGGTTCAGGGAAAGAGCCTAGAGGTGTGTAAAACAATAATTAGTCTTTAGAAAAGACCATGCAGTATCTTGAAGACACAGTCCTTGAGGCTGTTGGCTTGCAGTTTCTCAGTTCCCACTCTGACTGCTGTACTATGGAAGACTCAAAGGCAGTTGTCCCTGACATTTTTCAGTCTGCAAATCACTTAAAAAACCCCAAGAGGGAGATATATGGTAGTGAAATATAGTTAGTACTTGGAGCCAACCATGATTTGAGCTCTTGGCATAGGCAGAGAGTAAAGTAGCTTTAAAAAATACTGCATTACTTTATAGCCTCTTGTTGATTTATAAATTGATATTTCTTTCAAATTTTGTGTTAATTTTCATCTCCTATTTGTTTTTTGGTATGCCATAATAAAACCAGTATCTGGTCTGAGGATAGTTTTATTTTATGATTTTCTGAATTCGCAAAGTAGAGAATAGAAGCAATTGCCAATATTTTGCCCCAAAATAAAATGTCCCCCTGAAATTTATAATTGATGTCAAAATATATTTTCTCTGAATCTGTGTACTTTTGTTCAATTATAAACCAAACTAATTAGGTGTAGGCTGCAAACTTGTGGAGAGCTGTGGCCACCTAAAATATCGCATGAATTCTAAGGGCCCAACAATGTGCTGCTGGAGAGTACATTTCTAATCAAGCGTGACTTTGCAACTTAACAAAGAGGCTAGGAATTAGATTTTCCATTTCCTGAAGGCAGATCTAGTTTTATATGTGGGCAGAGTAAGTAGCTGCTTCTGTATTAGGATTTAAAATTCTTTCCCTATCTCTGTAGCTGAAATACATATTTCATCCATATTCAGAATCATGGAGGTTTTGTAATCCAAGTCTCAAGTTTTAGAATGAGGAAACTGAGATCCAGAGAGGTCAAATAACTTGTCCAATCTTGCCTTTTTTCCAGAAGTCTAAAATGATAAATAAAGTCAACATAAAAGGAGTCTATATAACCTGAGGTGAAAAAAGACAAGAAGAAATAATGTTAACATGCTTGCTGTAATGATTTATTTGTTACCTGGTTAACTGAATGTATTTTGGAATTTTTTAACAACTTATGAAACAAGGAAAATTGAGTCATATCATTCATAGCAGTCAGAAGAAAATTATTTATTTATTTTGGCAAAGTACAATTAGCAGTGAATTTTATATTTTATATTCTGACTGGAGAGATGTATTTCCCAAGGAGTACTTCATAAAAAGGACTG